GGACACCAAACACCCGCACTTCCTTAATGAATCACTAAATATCAGTCTAACAGGTTTTAAAGAGCAATGCAAACTTCTTGTATTGCTGAGAAGACAAACGGGGCTGGTAGCGCTGCATAGAGCTGTAGCTATCAGACTTCTTGTGAAATCACTGGGCTGTAGCGCACAATGGCTTACTGTGCTAATGGGTGTTCTGGAGGCCTGGATTCAAATCCTGGTTGCATTAGGACTTTCAATAGTACAACAAGGAGCACTACCATCGTCAGTTACTTCTGGTACATGGCTGGAAAAATATTAGTAATTCAGGGGTCTTTTTCCTTCTCTTCCTTCTCTAGAACATGTTCTCCAGCCAGTGAGCAGGGAGCTCATTTGCATGAAGGGGCCGTTCTCCAGCGCTGGGAGTTTAAGGGAGAATCGGAGGGTCCCAGCCACAGACCCGTTTGCCTCAGGAAGCCGAGCTTGTGTGGATTCCCCACCATGGCCTGGGCCCCTCTGCTCCTCACACTGCTCACTTACTGCGTTGGTAAGGGCGGAGGGTTGGGTTTCTCTGAATGGATCCTAAGTCCAGGGGCTGATCACTAACTGGGCTTTGGGTTGAAATCCCTGGGACTCGCTCTCTGATTTGGGAAGAACATTTCTCAGACAAGGGAGGCAGGTTGTGATTGGTTGGTTTCTATCGCTCTCTCCAGGTTGGAGTTCCCAGAGTGCGCTGAATCAGACCAGCTCCGTGGCAGTGAAACCAGGGGAGACGGCTGAGCTGCACTGCACACTGCAAGGGGTGGAGTACATTAGTAAGAGCAACCCATCCTGGTATCAGCAGAGATCGGGGATGGTCCCTCGGTTACTGATCTATAAATCTAGGAGCAGAGCCTCCGGGATCCCCGAGCGCTTCTCTGGCGAGACGAATGGTAACAGGGCGTCGTTAACCATCACTGGAGCCCAGGCTGAGGATGATGCTGATTATTACTGTGCTGTGTGGACTGGGAGTGCTCATCACAGTGACACAGTCAGATGAGGAACTGAGACGAAAACTCCCCTGTTGAACGAAGCTTCCTTTTCGCTGCATAGCAGCTGCAGGCCCGGGTTTACGGTGCATGTCTCACTCTGATCTGGGGGGATGACTTCCTGTAGAGCTAACGAGGCAGAAACAGCCGGGGGTCTGAGGGATATGAGACAGCCTCCCACTTATCCCATTCCTGCACTGGCTTCCCTCATTTCCACCCATTCCTTTTCAGTCTCAGTCCCCTATTCCGTCCCTTTTCAGTTCCTGCCCCCTTCTCGAGTCCCCCTTCAACTCCTTCTCAGACACCCGTAGAGACCCCCCTTGCGAGTCACCTGCCCTTAGTTGCTTCCGCTGCCTCTCTGAGGTGCCAGGCAAAATAATGGTCTCTGGTGGCCACAAGAGAACGCCTGGCCATAGCCCAGCCAGATGTGTGAGATTCCGGTCGACGGGCGGGCGTGGCAGGACTGCCAAAGGCTGGCAGACAAGTGAGGTGTGGGACACTTGGCAGCCCTGTCTTTCCCACTGGTGAGCAAATTCACAAAGGGTTTCCGTGGAGCTGTTCCTGATTTACACTGCAGTGAGATCGGAGCCTGGCCCATCTGCCCTAGCACTACCCCAGCTAACGGGACAGGGCTTCTTAGCTCTGCCTCATGCCTGAGAGACCTGCAAATGGTCATTGGAGAGAGAGACCCTGCATTGTCCTATGAACATTCAAAACTGTACTGGGCAACCCAACCCCACCCCACCCACCCCTTCAAGGATTTAACCCAGGCATTGAACTGCAAATGCCATCAGCACTGCAGATTCATACCAGCCCTCAGAGCTAAGCGTATGGAGTTCTTGGCCTGTGGAATGAAATAAGGTGTGACTGCAGCAGGATGCCGTCCCAGAGCAGATCCTGAATAGAGCCCAGCATCAAGAACACCCTGGATCATCACCAGGGAACAGGGGTACGCTCAAGTGTGTGTGACGCAGGCCATCGCCATGAGAGTGCACTGGGGACGGTCTCAGCAGGAAAAGACACCAGCCATCAGAGTTATAAGGTTCTTGGGTCCCAAGGCCCCTCTCCTTCCCTCACCATCCATGCTCAAATCATGATATGTCCTACCGTGAATGGACATGGACAACAATTCATCACCATCTGCTTTATAACACCCCTTAACATATTTGAAGACTGTTATTAGGTTCCCCACCTCAATCACTTTTCCTCTTGCCCTTTTTTTTTTACCTTGCCTCATAGGTATGTTTCTACAGCTTTTCTCATTTGTATTTCTCTTCTCTGGATTCTCTCCA